TTAGGACAACAGTGCTAGTTCCCAAGAAAGAAAATTAGAAGCGGGCATCTAAGTTTCTCGAGACTCCTCCTCACCCTGTGTTTTGGAGTGGAAAGCTAGCCACTGGAGGAAGAGATGGGTTACAAAAAGAGAAGAGTGGAAGTGGGGAGAAACTTTAGAACCTTAAGCCTTTTTTGGATGTGGAAACGGAAGCCGGAGAGCCTTCATGACCAGCCAGCTGGCTGGCAGCAGAGGCGGGGCTGGGTGGGCTGCAGGCCTCTCCTCTGTCTCACCTCTAAGTTTAGATGCAGTATTCCTCTGAGGATGGGTTGAGTGCTAGCTTTGAACCTAAGGCTTAGTTCCATGTTCCTCTCCTGTGATGATTTTTTTAAATTTGGGGAAGTGGTCACTAACGTGTTGAGGGAATACTGATGGATTCTTTTTGTTCAAAGTATTTGCCTGAGAATTTCTTGTAAGGATAATGAATAACCTAGTCCTAATTTGCCCTGAAACATTTTTCTTTTCACCTTGTATGCTAAAGCCACAATCCAGGGACAGATTTTTTTTTTTAATTTTGTGTTCAAAGCACTTTATTTTTTAACATTACTAGATTTATTGTGTGACCCTGTTTATACACAGTAGCTGGGCTTTCTTGTTCTGGGTAATACTCTGGGGGAGAGGGTTTTTTCAATACTCTGTCATCCTGGCTAGAGTACAACTATATCATCATAGCTCACTGCAACATCAAATTCCTGGGCTCAAGTGATCCTCCTGCCTCAGACTCCAGAGTAGTTGGGACTACAGGCGCCACCACAACGCCAGGCTATTTTTTAGAGATGGGATCTTCCTCCTTGCTCATTGCTTCAACTCCTGAGCTCAGTCAGTCCACTGGCCCTGGCCTCCCAGAGTTCTAGGATTATAGGTGTGAGCCATCCTCTCCCCCACCTCCATCTCCCCACTCCCACGCCTGGATCTTCACTCCCCCACTCCTCTACCTTCACTCCCCCACCTCCTCCCCCACCCTTCACCTTCATGTTTTTTAGAAGGGAGGGGGACTGAGGAGTATGGATGGGAACAGCAGATCAGATTGATTTGTAAATTACCTGATAGGTGCATATTATGTTTTAAATGATTTGGGCCAAGTATGATTGCCTTTTGCAATCTGTGGAGATAACAGGGAGAGGAAGGGGAGTCCCTTGCTCATTTTTATCCAAAAGAGAGAAAGCTTTTTCCAATGTCCTTTTATCTGGAAGGGCCTTTAATTCAAAATATTCTTTATACCAAGGAACTCCTTCAAGACAGCCTGTTCTGTCACCCTGACTGAAGTGCTGTGGTGTAGCTCACAGTAGCCTCAACCTCCTGGACTCAAGCATCTTCCTGCCTCAGCCCCCAAGTGGCTGGTACTGCAGGTGCATGTCACCACACCCTGCTAATTCTATGTTTTTGGTAGAGATGGGGTTTCTTGCTCAAGCTGGTCTTGAACTCCTGGCCTTACATGATCCTCCTGCCTTGGCCTTCCTACTTTGGGGTTTTGAGGGTTTATAATTCATGACTTAGCCTTACATGTGAACACTCCACTGACTATTTCTCTTTTCTTTGCAAAACCCCTGTTTCCATCACCCCATCTGTTCTTGATCACTCTTAAGTTTCATGGTGTAATTGGTCCCTTGACATTGACTCTGGTAGTGGCTTAAGCAATATAGGAGGAGCCAGTTGTTTCTGCTTAAGAAAAAAAACAGATCAGGAGCCTACACATGTACATCCTCTCCTACCCAGTGCTGCACTGGCTCCTCCCTACCGTATTCACAAGCTTGACAAACATTTTCTGGCCACCTGCCAGATGCCAGGCCCCCGTGCTGGTGAGTGAAGATTCCAAGTTGAGTAATTCATAGTTCCTGTCTTCAAGGAACTCTCAGCCTGTCAGGTGTGACAGATAGACAAATAGATGTAATAACCTGTTAAGGGTGAAGTCCTACCTAGCTGGGTAAGAAGGGGTCATTTTCACAGAGGGTAGGTGTGGTGGTGTCAGGAAAGAATTCCTCCAGGAAGTGACCCTGGTGCTGTGCCCTTAAAGTGACTGTCCCTGGTAGTGAGAGCAATGAGGTTCTTGAGGTTTCTTTGAATGTAAGTCAGTTTGTTAAGGGAGAAGAAGGTAGTCTGTAGGAAGGCCTTGCTACCTTAACTTTGTACTTTGTCTGACTGAGTAATACGTGTACAAAGTAGAGTGGTAAAGGAGATGAAAGGGGAATATACTGAGAGAAAAATGTTTTCCTCCTCCCCCAACTATTAACCATTCGATTTCCCTCCCTGAAGATAATTGTTAGTTTCTTGTGTATCAGAAGCCAGAGAGGTTTTCACTGCATACAGGGGTGTGTGTGTGTGTATCTTTTTAAAATACATGTATATATGCAAATGATTTTCTTCTTCTTTTTTTTTTTTTTTGCAGTTTTTGGCTGGGGCTGGGTTTGAATCCATCACCTCTGGTATATGGGGCTGGCACCTTACTCCTTTGAGCCACAGGTGCCCCACCCGCAAATGGTTTTCTTTATGTGCTAATTTTAGAAGTCATTGCATTGTAGCACAGATGGAACTGTCCTGTTCATTTTAAACCACTGGTATTCTATTTGGTATACTATAAGTTACTTAACTAGTCCCCTGTGATGAACTTTTAAGCTGCTCCAATCTTTTGCCATTATAAACCATGCAGTGAATATCCTTCATGTGTGTGGCTGGAGATGTGATTTCTGAGGACAGATTCTAGAAGTGGAATTGATAGGTCAGAGAATATGTGCATTTGGGGGGGGGCAGATATTATCTGGTTGACCTCCAAAGAGCTCTACTTTGATGACAAAAATACTAACCATACTTTATCACTTGGCCCACAGCACTTCTCCTGCTCCCCCATTGAGCCTCTAAGATCTCTGCCAGAGTGATCTTCCTGAATGAATTTGGTTCTGTAATGTCCCTGTTTGGAACCCTTGTATGCACCACCTGGATTTCAGCCTCCTCCAGGAGTACTGTGCTTCATGGTACTCTGATCCGCCTATTTTTGGTACCTCCTTCCCCCCCCCCCCAACTAGACACATCCTTTAGGACTCAGCTTAACATCACCTCCCATGGGTAGTCTTTCCTGCCTACTTCCACTCATGCTCAGAACATGTAACTACCTGATGTGGCCTCACCCACTCACTACTTAAATATTTGTTATGCACGTGCTGTGATATGGCACACACAGGTATCATTCTTGATGATCCACTGTTGTTGACTTGAGGGGATGATGACTGCCTGGTAAGGTTACCTGGTGTGGCTACATGTAAAATGGCAGCACCAGAGGGCCCATTGCTAGCCCTGTCACTAAACAGCTGGGAGCCTTAGTCATATCCTTTAACTTTTTTGGACCTTGGGTTGCCATCTATCAGATGAGGCAGTGGAGCTTAATGAACTCTAACTCCCTGTAGCTCAGGTCTTATTAATGATTGGACAGTAACAGCAGCCAGTGTTTACTGAGGACCTACAAAGTGTCAGGCACTTTGTTTATTCTGTTCCTTACATCAATCCTACAAAGATCATATGTTTACTGTCCCCATTGCACAGGTGAGGAAACTGAGGCTGAGAGTTTTTATGACTTGGCCACGAAATAGCAATATGACTGTCTCAGTCTGAAAAAAGACCAGGTATGAGAGTCTTCAGTAAGCATTAGCCAGGCGTTCGTGAACACAGCCAGCCACTTGTTCTCATCCTGTTTCCTCTAATAGCTGAGACGTAGCAGTCTTCTCCCCGCTTTTACCCAGACTCCAGTTTGAGACTTTCAAGCTGCCTAGCAGAGTCTCAGGGGCATCCTTTATTAGGTCATAATAGAAGAAACAGAATTGAATCTGAACATTCTGACTTTGCTGCTGTTAGTCACATAAATGTGCTCATATTCCACACATAGACAGGGTTTCGTGTACTGTCACAAGTTCTACTCCCAGATCTGTATGTGAATTACCACTGTTCTTCAGGGTTACAACTAGACTCCCTGATCTATGGCACATAAAGCCTTATTAATGGAGAAGGGTGTGTGTGTGGAATTAAAAAAGGAAGTGGAATAGTATTTGGAGTACCTATTATAAATGGGAATATATGAGTAACTGGCGAAGGAAATCAAATAATTGAACTAAAATATAATAAGCCCACATCATATTGTATCATCAACCCTCCCCAAAGACATGTAGAAAATAATCTTTAAGTTCCTGACTCTAGATGTCATTTTCCCCCTCCCCTCCCTTCCCCTCCTCCCCTCCCTTCTCTTCTTTCTCCTCTCCTCCCTTCTTTTCTCTCTCTTTTTTTAAGATTCTGGTTCCTACTCTTCCGAAGTCTATCTGAACTAGAGTGGGTGGTAGGGCTAATGAGCAATTACAGCCCATCCTCCACCCCCCATCATTGTGAACATTGGCCAACAGAATGTGGTCACAGGTGTGTTGGGTGAGTCGATTAAATTAGTCCCATTTTTGAGATGCGAGGCTGTCGAGTCAGATCCTCGGGCTGAGTGCGCGGCTCCCAGTGCTTCATTCCTTCTCTAGGCAGTGTGTTTCTGCCTTTAAGGCATGTGTTCTCCCTCTCTCTCTTTTTCTCCTTTTGGTTAGTTTGAGCTTGTTCCAAGTCCAAGTGGCAAAGGCAAAGGCTGACTGGTGTAGCAGCCCTGTGTTGACAGCCGCCTCTGCTCCTGTGTGCTGGAGTCTGCCAGATGGTTTCTGAAAGCTCTGCCGTTCCTGACGGATATCCAGGTGAAACAGGCTGTGTCCTGGTCCTGTTGAAAGGATCTGGCTCGGGGAGGCTGACGGCAGCGGGCCTTGGCGTTTCCCTAGGGAGGAGCTGAAAAGCCACCTCTGTGTTTGTCTCTCCTGGCAGCAGCAATTCAGTTGCTAGAATTCTTTCAACTTTGTGTGTGATTATGGCTTTCTTACCAAAGTGACTATTTTTAACTAACTTATGGCTAAAGTTTTCATTTTACTTATGTCTTGGTTTTCTGTTTGTTACAGGTGACTCTATCCCTGGCTGACTTTAGGATTCTTCTGGATTTTTTAATTTTTTCTTTAAACAAAAAACTTGGACGGATAAAAGATGTGCCATGGCAGGATAGCACCAAAGAGCACCTCAGTGTTTGCCGTGGCCTCTGTGAGACATGGAGTGTTCCTTCCGCTGGTGATCCTTAGCAGCCTGCTTGGAGACGGACTCGCCTCTGGTAAGTTCCGACCTGCCTTGTGAGTATGGTAGGGAAGACCACCATTTCTCTGGAAGGTGAGGATAGGGTCTATCCCTCTGGCAGGCCTTTTGGGGTTAGGGTGGAGGGCTTTTGTACAGTGGTATCTAGGGGAAGGAGCCAGGGCCTAATGAGCCAGCCATAGGGGTCTATGTGGCAACCGGCTTAACCGTCAGCAACCCCCCACAGTAGTCATCATTAGGCAGGACAGAGGTGCAGGGTTCAGAGAATGATTTATGGGTAAGGGTGCCAGCTTGGGAATCAGACTGCCTGTGTTCACAGCCCAAGCCTACTACTAGCTTGCTCTGTGACCCTAAGCAAGTCACTTTACTGATGCAAGCCTCAGTTTTTTCAGCTGTAAAGCAGAGTAATGATTGTATTTGCCTTATTGGACAGTTGTGAAGATTGACAGAGATAACATAGTAAGTCCTTAATGATTGCTGGCTCATTTTTTTTCTTATATTTCTGTGCTTTTTTCTCAGAATGAGTGCATAGTTGAGAATTGTAATTTAGGGAAAGGAAGACCTGGTTGCCAACTCTATAAACATTGTGACCTTGAACAAGCTACCTGTTAATTCTTTTTTAAAAAATTTTGAACAAACTTTTTTTTTGAGACAGAGTCTCACTTTGTCACCCTTGGTAGAGTGCCATGGCATCATAGCTCATAGCAATAGTGATTCTCACAGTGATTCTCTTGCCACAGCCTCCCAAGTGTCTGGGACTACAGGCATCTGCTACAATGCTCAGCTATTTTTTAGGGATGAGGTCTTATTCTGGCTCAGACAATCCCCCCGCTTTGGCCTCCCAGAGTGCTAGGATTACAGGGGTCAGCCACCACGCCTGGCCCTGAACAAATTTTTTATTTTGAACTAGTTTTAGATTACAGAAAAGTTGTGAAGACACCACAGAAGGTTCCCATATACTTGATATGCAGTTTCTTCTGTTATGAACGTCTTACATTAGTGTGTTACATTTATCATAATTAATGAACCAATATTGATGTTATTAAATAATTCCATACTTTATTCGTATTTTCTTAGTTTTTACCTAATGGCCTTATCTCTTCCAGGACCCCACGGGGGGTACAGTATTACATTCTGTCACATCTTCTTTGGTTCCTTTGGCTGTGATAGTTTCCTGAACTTTTGTTCTTTTTTTATTTTGGACTAATACAAGGATATATGCAATTCGGTTACATCGTTTGCATTTGTTTTTGTTAGGACGTATCTGAGTTACAGTTGAGTCCTTTGCCCAGGAGGTGTGTCATATACCCCTACATTGTACCCATTAGGTGGGAGCTTACTGAGCCCCTCCTTCTGCCTCCCCCCACTTGAATTTAATTGTTTTTCTCTCATGTGGGCTTGTAGCTGTTCATCTACTAGTTTCAAATTAGTATTGAGTACATGGGGTGCTTGCCATTTATCCATTCTTGAGCTCAGTTTCTCTCTCCGTCAAATGAAGAAGTTGACCTAGATAACCTTTAAGATCACTTTTAGTTCCTCGGTTTAGGCTTTCATGATTCTGAGGGCTTTCTGGTTGAACATGGTGAGCTCTAGCAGGGGCTAGAAATGCAGTGCTGACTTTGTACCATCCTTGTTGCCTTCAACATTGCTGCAGAGATCCTTCCAGGTCCTCTTTGGCGAGGACACGTTTGTGGCGGGGGGGGGGCAGGCTTCTTGGTGGTGTGCCAGAACCTTCTTCTGTGTCTCACCCCCAGTGTCATCACTGAGCTTACCAGTAATGGTGTCCCTACCAGACTTCTTTAGAGACACATATGTGACAGTGCTTCCTGGGGAGAGATCTCAGAACTAGATTCTGGAAGGGGACTTTCTTGGGAGGGAGAAAGGGAGTGGTATATTGTGGCTGTAGAGCTCCTAGCTCAGTGCTTTTTCATTCCCTTTCTCTCAACTCCCATTGTCCACTTACCCACCATAGACAAATGCAATCTCATCTTACATTTTTCTTTTGGTTTTTTTTTTTTTTTT